ATGAAATTGAAGAAATAAAGGATGTGTTCATCATAAATATATTTTGTAATTATGGAATTACAAAAATAAATTACATATCTTGTTTGTTTTTCTTCATCTTTTCATCTCAAATTCTCAGCAATGTTTTCTTTAAGCTTTATTCTATACCACTGAAGCCGAAATTTTGATAAAAATTTGATTCGATGAAAAATTAGATTGACCTCACTCTGTTTGATTTTTAGTACAGCCATAATGTTTTATTCGTTTGGAAATAGGAAAGAAACGCTCCCCTGCACTAGTTATTGGTAGCTGGGAATATGGTATGCAGATTACAGTCATAAAGGGTTGTATAAAAACCATTCGGTGGTCATATACCTATTAACTTAATATGTGGTTCAAATGCAATGACTACTGTGTTAAGCTCGCTATATAAAACACAGAAGGACTATCAGAGGCCTTTCCATCGAGGTATGTTCATACATCAATTTGAAACTTTGATTAATGCATTTGAATCAGGACCTTGATGACAATAATAATATTTCATTCGTCTTCCTTGTCCGCATTTTTTAGATTAATGAAATCGCGCGAACCCTTAATTGTCTTCGATTCTACTTCGATGTTACTCCTCAAATATCTTAGAATCTTATTAATGTTAAGCGTGACTATGAAATGATGAGCTTTCAAAACAATAAACGTGAGTTCATTTATCTCAATTGGAATGATTGAATATTTAGTTTCATAACCGCTGCTTAACACAGCCATATATACAGCCCAGGGTGAGCGGTGCTAACTCCGTACTAAAAGGACTTGAAATATCTTCAGATCTGGCATGTCTAGTCCGTTATTTAACCGCCCTTTTTATAGTTATATTGTTGGCGATGTTTGATTGAGTAATAAAGGATAAAATATTGATTTAAAGGTAATACAAAGTTTTGGGAATTTTTGAAAATTGGCTGGATAATGATTCTTTACAATTTTGATATATTTGGATGCCCCTGTAGATGAATTTTTTAAGTATCACAAAAAAATTACCCCCTTAAACACTCCTGCTTTCGAGAAAAATTAAATATAAACATTTACCGGTGCTCCCGGTAAATTTTGAAAAATTTCAAATAGCGCCTACGGCCGTACAATGGTAGCTGCGACCATGAAAATCTCAGAATATATAGTTGTGATATATAATTTCCAAACGGAAATAGCTAATCAGTCGATTTTAGTCAAGAAACATTGTTTCATAGCTAAATTAATATATTGACCTTGAGAGGGAGATATACAACATAACAAGTTTATTATTTACAATTTCTTTACTTTAGACTCGATTTCAACCGCGACAACGAGCACTGAATATTGTAGGATCGCATATGCTTCCAATATGTTCATTTGAACCAAATTCATGACCCCATACCAAAACTTTGTATTACCTTTAAATTGAATTATCAGATCAGATAAAGGGAAATAAAAGACAGTTTGTATGGTAATTTGAATCAATCGCAACTCGTAAGACGTGTCCTAGTTTCACCGCCCACCTCTATAATAATTATGTAGGTGGACTCGGAGAGCCGTAAAGGTCGTCCCATCCTTATGAGAAACAGAGAGGGAAAAGGAAATTCATAATGGTGGGAAAGGGGAATGGGGGAAAGGGAAGGCGAAAAAGGCGTACCATACTGTTAAAGAATGTTGTTACTGTTTAAAAAATGAAAGAGAAAGTATTGCTGTGATTGCCTATAGTGATAAATGTACAGGGCGTATACGGTATATTAAAGTTATATATATTATAGGATACGAAGGTTTATAAAGTTATATTTATATTTCCTATCATACCATTACTTATACTGACATTAACATGTGCTGTATACCCCCTGAAACTGGAAATAAAGTCTTAATTCAACATGTTAGTGATTTATGAACAAAGTTACTGACAATCGGTGACAGACCATAACTCTAATTCATGAAATGAAAAGAAAAGAAGAATGTTCTTAGCAACCCATAATGGATCAAACACTTCTCAGATAACCGTGCAAGTTGTCCATCAATTTTCATCCAATCAAAATATAAAAGGATAACACGACCAGATAGAGGTACAGAGATATAATTTGCTGACATGAAGTTTACAACAGTAGAAATTGTGAAGGAATATATACGAGGTATCATTATTTCCCTCTTTATCGACGCTTATGTTGTTGTTTAGTGGAAGTGATTGAATAGGTGAAGATATAACAGAACCCCCTCCCCCCATACATCAAACTTAAGATTCTAGGGGTAAAATAGCACAAATCCCTGATGTAGAAATTTTGTTGGGGAAGTGAGTAGGAGGAAAACCAGCATTCGGTATCAATCATCGATATGATATGATGTATTTATTCACGTAATTAGAAGACGTTTGTGAATTGATAATTAATTGTGTCGAATTGCTTTATTACGGAAAGCTTGTAATAATGGGCTACCGTGCACTAACCGCCTTGAAAGGTGGGAAGCCAAAATAAAGATGGCGGCAATAAATGGTTGTAAAGCCATTCTAGGGCCCATATACCTATTAGTAGGTGAGTTCCAACTACTGCGTACGTACACGGGAATCGTTAGAATGTCGAGGTCCATCATCATATTAATGCAATTCATTGTCTGGTAATATTTGTTCTGAACTTATGTAGATGTTTATCAACATAATGTGTAAGGATACAGACCTCAAACATGATTTATTAGTAGACAGGAGATGGTAGTCATGTTGTCATGCCTTGTCTTATGACGTAGAATATGTTTCATCAGAAATAGGATGTTCATCATTTTGTAGGAAATATATGAACCTCTTGTGAAAGTCTTAGTGCATGTATATTTGCGAAATTTAAATGATTATTCGTTGGAGTAACTACATGTGTATATTCAGTACTTTACATTAAACTCTAAAAATGAAAATGGGAATATCTCCTTTTGCTTTTATGATAATGGGTTTAAGAAGGAGCTGTATCAAAATACAAAGTTAGGTTTGAAGACAGGATGTCGGCCCTCATGTAGATCCCTCGAAACACATTATATTCTAAAAGCACTAGAAAACTGACACAATATATATGTATAACCTCATCCCTCGGCCCTCACCCCCTTTAACAAAGTACCGAAATGAATGAGTTTTTTTTTTAGATCGTGAGAATGGGATAGCTAAATGCTGTAATATGCAACATGTTTTAAATCATTTGGTTTCGACTCTTAGTTCCCCTTTCGAGTTGAAATGAATCAATAACGAGTGCTTTATTAAAAGCTTTTTAAAAAAGGGAAATAATGAAAAATGTTTCAAATGGACGGGGATATTGATTTACAGGATTTAAAACAAAATGTATCTATTGGCAACTAACAATCAAATTCCATTTTTTGTACACAGTCCACTTCTTATCCATGGTACAGAAACTTGAAAAATACACCATACGCAGTTCGTTATTGAACTCTATACCCGTACGAGCGCCTTAATGTGTACCGCTATAATAAAACTGCGAGATAGCGCTAACAACGCAAACAATACGCCGTTGCTGCAAATTGTTTAGAAAGAGTCATAAAATTCATTGGCCTTAATGAGCATTTGGTATTCCCTAACTTGTTTGGTCTGACGGTATTAAAGGCCACTACAAGCTCACTAAAATCCGATCTGACTCGTTACCACATCAAACGTATCCCCTCAAGCGACCTATGTCACTTTCAACTTGATCGTCAAGGGAGTGACGTCACATTTTATGTTGATGTGTATTTAGATGTGGCGGGATCGGGGTAAATAGTGCTTCTTTTATGTGGGAGGGGGATAGGGTTAGAATATGCCGCTATGTAAACATTATAACGGTCCATGAAATCAGGCTATTTCAGGAGATTTAGCTGTCAATTTAACGGGAAATATCTCAAGTTCGTCTTGATAAGGAAAAGATAAACGACTAACTGCAATATTAAGTTCCTGGTAAAAAAAGAAACCCACAGCAACGAACAAACATAGTCAACACCTGCGTTTTGTACTTTTTGTTTTCCTTGCTACATGTTTTGTATCCCCCCATTCAGTTCTCTCTTTTTCAATGGATATTTTATATTGATGAAAATTACGTTCTTTTTCATCGCAATATTCTGTTCACTTTTAAAGTGCTTACGAAAAATTACCCGAGCTTTAGCTCCGGCAACAGTATATTAAAGAGAACAATGCATTCTAAGACATTTGTAAAGCGGGTGTTGATTCCTGCTGTTATTATGGATAAACAAGATTATGGATGGAACACTTTTTAAAGTTTTACCTTCCGACCCCCCCCCCCCTCCTTTTTCCTCTTTCCCTCTCTTCTATAAAAGTGATAAAGCGCCCGTCACGTCAGGACTATAATTGAGTTATTAATTGTGTTATGGTACCAAATAAATTTACTTCTAACACTGTCTTGTAAAAAACGGTAATCATGGTCTCTGTCATTATATAGGGGAGAGGTATAGAGAAGAGAGACAGAGAGAGAAAGAGAGAGAGAGAGAGGGGGAGAGAAGAGGGATTGTGGTAAAGAGGGGGAGATATACATGTAGAGATGGAAGGAGGAGGACATTATCATGGGAAGAGAGAGAGAGAGAGAGAAAGAGAGAGAGAGAGAGAGAGGGGGGGTGTACATCTACTTAATAAATTAATAATTCAATTATAGTCCTGATATGACAGGCACTTTATTCCTTTAGAAGAGAGGGAAAGAGGAAATTGGGGGTGGGGGGTCGGAAGGTAAAAGTGTTCCATCCATAATCTTGTTAATATTATATTTACAGCAGAAATCAATAAGAGAGAGAGAGAGAGAGGGGGGGAGAGAAGAGGGAGACTTGCTGTTGTTTTTCTACCTTATTATTAACTATCTAGGGAGAGGGCGTTGTTGATATCCTGATGAAAGAGAGAGAGAGAGAGAGAGAGGGGGAGAGGGGAGAAAAAGAGAGAGAAGGAGAAAAGGGAGGGGCAGACAGAGGTAGACATAAAAGCAAATTCAAAGATGAAAGAGAGAGAGAGAGAGAGAGAGAGAGAGAGAGAGAGAGAGAGGGAACTAATCAATACAAATCTGGAATCGAAGAATAACAACAAATAATATAAGAATAGACACAAAATGTTAAACCAGAGAATATAGGAAACAAATAAGACTGATATTGAGAAGTAGCACGAAATGATACTCTAAACTGCAATGAAACTCGGAGAATAATCAGATAAGATTTGTTGTAATAACTTTATTAAATCGATGCGGTTCATATCATGGTTTTTAATTTTATTTATACACAGGTATATTTGCGCATTATATCATTATTTTTGCATTGAACATTAAACAGAGAAGGAGGTTAAGATTGAAGTATATTTCTAAAACAAGTCATTCTCTGTTTTTCAGATGGGGATGTTTCCAGGTCGACATCCATGATATGTTTTTAATACTTATTTTCGCCACAGGGATTTTATTGATTTTTATTTGCAACAAATTAACAAACGTATATTCAAGGTAATTTATAATCGATGATATTTGGTTCAGGTTGAATGTCTATCTGCGATTAGCAAGACCCCGGTAACCACGGCGTAGATAGCTTTTATCACTTGATCGTCTAACCGGGTTGGTGCCAGAATCAGAGGTAGTATCGCCTTGTCGGCAGCGATTTTCAGAGTTTTGTTGCCTTATTCTTTCCCGGGAAATGCAATGGTTTTTGTGGAGTTTGTATGTAATAAATGAACGTCCGCCGTGTACAGTGCTTACGTAGTAGCCAACTTCATTTTCTTGTTTATGATGAGTTGGTCTCTGCTGCGCCGATAACCCTGGTGTGACCGACTCCATCTCGATGGGAAGACTGGGGGACGCGATTGGTGGAGGGAATGGGATAGGCTTGGACTTATCTAAGAGATCTTGAGCTCTTTCGACCCATATCTTCAAAGGATTGCGATCGTCCCATGGAATATCCACCATCGGTAGCAGTAATGGTAGCAGAGGTTGTGGTGGTTGTGGTGGTGGTGCAGCAAGTGGTGCTGATAGTACTGATTGTTGTTGCACTAGAAGAGGTTCCGATGATGACGCTGGTAGGACTACTAGTTGTGGTGCCTGTAGTTGTTTTGGTTGTGGCACCGGTAGGGCTTTTGGTTTTGGATCCGGTAGTGGATCTGGTGGTGGCCTCGGTGGTGATACTGGTGGTGGATCCAGTGCTGGTTCTAGAGGCGGCGCCTGAAGTGCTACTGGTGGTGGATCCAGTAGTTGTTCTGGTGGTGGTGGTGGTTCCAGCAGTGCTACTGGTGGTGGATCCAGTACTGGTTCTGGTGGCGGTGGTTCCAGTAGTGCTACTGGTGGTGGATCCAGTACTGGTTCTGGAGGTGGCGGTTCCAGTAGTGCTACTGGTGGTGGATCCAGTAGTTGTTCTGGTGGTGGTGGTGGTTCCAGCAGTGTTACTGGTGGTGGATCCAGTAGTTGTTCTGGTGGCGGTGGTTCCAGTAGTGCTACTGGTGGTGGATCCAGTACTGGTTCTGGAGGTGGCGGTTCCAGTAGTGCTACTGGTGGTGGATCCAGTGCTGGTTCTAGAGGCGGCGCCGGAAGTGCTACTGGTGGTGGAGCCAGTAGTTGTTCTGGTGGTTGTGGTGGTGGTTCCAGCAGTGCTACTGGTGGTGGATTCTGTAGTTGTTCTGGTGGTGGTGGTTCCAGTAGTGCTACTGGTGGTGGATCCAGTAGTTGTTCTGGTGGTGGTTCCAGCAGTGCTACTGGTGGTGGATTCAGTAGTTGTTCTGGTGGTGGTGGTTCCAGTAGTGCTACTGGTGGTGGATCCAGTAGTTGTTCTGGTGGTGGTTCCAGCAGTGCTACTGGTGGTGGATTCAGTAGTTGTTCTGGTGGCGGTGGTTCCAGTAGTGCTACTGGTGGTGGATCCAGTACTGGTTCTGAAGGTGGTGGTTCCAGTAGTGCTACTGGTGGTGGATCTAGTAGTTGTTCTGGTGGCGGTGGTTCCATAAGTGCTACTGGTGGTGGATCCAGTAGTTTTTCTGGTGGTGGTGGTTCCAGTAGTGCTACTGGTGGTGGATCCAGTAGTTGTTCTGGTGGTGGTGGTGGTTCCAGCAGTGCTTCTGGTGGTGGATCCAGTAGTTGTTCTGGTGGTGGTGGTGGTTCCAGCAGTGCTACTGGTGGTGGATCCAGTAGTTGTTCTGGTGATGGTGGTGGTTCCAGCAGTGCTACTGGTGGTGGATCCAGTAGTTGTTCTGGTGGCGGTGGTTCCAGTAGTGCTACTGGTGGTGGATCCAGTACTGGTTCTGGAGGTGGTGGTTCCAGTAGTGCTATTGGTGGTGGTGGATTCAGTGCTGGTTCTCGAGGCGGCGCCGGAAGTGCTACTGGTGGTGGAGCCAGTAGTTGTTCTGGTGGTGGTTGTCCCAGTAGTGCTACTGGTGGCGGATCCAGTAGTTGTTCTGGTGCTAGCGACGGTAGTTCAGGTGGTGGTGGATCCGGTAGTTGAGCTGGTAGTGGTAATGGTGGTGTAGTCAGCGGCGATGTTGGTGGTGGTGATGACAGATACTCAGAAGTCACATCCTGGGAAGAGGGGAAAGTAAGATTAACAAATTTACTACTATTCAATCGCATTTTCAAATAAATTTCTTATTCTGATGAATAACAACAAAAAATATGAACAAAAGTATAATAGTTTAAATTTCATATCTAGAGTTTGAATTCAAATGTTATTATTTGTTTATCAAAATCTAAAAAATAATATAAATAAAATAAAAGTTATGTAAAATTACCATGACAATATTTCCATGAAAATAAGCAAAATCAAAATGAAACTGATGAAAGGAAACAAAGATATCCATGTTGTTCAATGTTTAAAAAATCGTAAAGTTAATGCTTTTAGAAAATACCGAGATACTTACGGCAAAAATGTCGCTGATGTAAAGTTCAACCTCTCGATCAAATCTGGCCTCTCGGACGATAGTCTGAAAAACAGAAAACATAATATTATAAAAGGGCTGGTTTACGACAACGAAAAGGGAATTATATACACAAAATATTGTCATTTCAATTAATTTAAGGAAAAAATGAGTAATATATGTATACATTGCTCAACAAAATTGAATGTATTTTAGGTTTTCCGCGAATTGATATGAGAGGGATGAATAATAAAAAAGCAATATATCTGCCTCCTCGCTTCCTAAGATGAAGTCGGAATACAAAATCCCGCTAAAGATGGAAGTAAGATCCATCAAAATGCGATACAATTTCAGTGTTTTAATAATCGACCTTAAAATCTTATGATCAATAAGAACTTTTTTTCCCTTTTTTTTTTGCTTACGGAAAAGATTCCATTGAGGTTGTCCTTGATGTCATACTCGAGAAATGCATCTTGGGCAATAGTCTGCAGAAATAGAAATATAAATATAGGAAAGCTGGTTTATGATAATGAAATAGAAAAGAGTATTCTAATTTGGTTTGGGATACAAGACTGAGAATGTAGCTAATAAATTGCTTGATCTGGTGTTCTTTGCACAGCAATTCATCGATCACAGTCTAAGGAAAAGTAAGAACAAGATGTGAGCTTTAAATTCCTAAATGAACAATTTTGATCAAATAGTCGCTGTTTTTTGTTGTCAAAACAATAGCTAATATTTGGAGACGGAGTTTCAGAATATGCTAAATTCGATATATACTCAGAGGTGTTTATTTATTCAAATAAAAAGGTCGATAATGCTTTAAAGTAGAGATTGTAATCAACGATACCCATGAACATTCAGAGGAGGAAAATATAATTTAAGTAATGAATATATCTGCCCCCTCCCCGACCTTCCTGCAATAAAGTCTGAATACAAAATCACACAAAATATGGAAGTAAGATAATATGAAAATGCGATATAATTTACTTTGTTTGAATACTTAAAAATCTTGTAATGAAATTCAAAATATTTTATTTTTGTTTGCTTACAGAACAGATTGCATTCAGGTACTCGTTTATCTCAAGGTCAAGAACCGCGTCTTGGACGACAGTCTGTAGAAAAAAAGAAAATAACAAACCAGCCTTTGGCAATGAACAAGAGAACAAAAATCTACTCTTTTAGGAGTGATATTAGAGATCACTTTGATTTGGAGTGGAAATTAACGGCTCAAAATGGAGTTGAATACACCTTCAAACGAGTGCTTCAAATTTGTACTTTTGAGTGGATCCCAATATTTTTAGCGTGGCTTTCCTCTCCCAAATGAAGTGATCTCTATTATGTCACCTTAAAGAGTAGATTTTCACTCCTCTGCACTAAGATAATTTCGGAGAAGCAAGACTGGTTGAAGTACATTATGAAAATAAACTGCACAGGGCAATTTAAATTTAAATTTAAATTTCAAAAATAAGCAAAAAGAGGAATCAATTATTTTTATATAGATACCTGGATACATTGCTTGATAAGTTGATATCAAGTAATGTGTTCAAGTCTCGAGAAACATCCTGAGGGATAAAAGAAATAGTTATTCCACAAAATGGTCACACCATTTCAATCTATTTCATATATAGCTTTAAGTTCTTAATTGTATTTATTAGTTTTACTTTCATGTGTAACATGAAGCAACCAATATGCTTTGTTAAATGTTTTAGTTTTACATTGATTAAATAACGGAAAAATGCTTTCATTCATATTCAGATGTTTACCTTGTTGACGGCTTGAGCTTGGGCGACATCTTTGATTACTGGTTCAGGGTCTGTGACTGTTTCCTTAAGAACGGTCTCTTGGACGATAGTCTGTGGCAAAGAGAATAAAAACAAACCAGCCTTATGACAATGAACAAGAGTCATATTAGAGATTACTTTGCTTTGGAGTGAAAATCAATGGCTCAAAAACAAATGGAATCCATTCTCGAAAGAGTGCTCCAAATCACTAATTTTGAGATGATCCCAATATTTTAAGCGTGCATTTCCTCTCCCGAATGAAGTGATCTCTATTTTGTTACCTTAAAGAGTGGATTTTCACTCCTCTGCACTTAGCTAATTTAGGAGAGGCTTATTTGGTTTGGAATCCAAGTATGCTACATAGTAAAATTAATGCTTTTAGAAACTACCGAGATGCTTACGTCAAAAATGTAGCTGATGTAAAGCTTAACCTCTCGATCAAACCTGGCCTCTCGAACGATAGTCTGAAAAACAGAAAACATAATATTATAAAAGGGCTGGTTTACGACAAGAAAAGGAAATTGTTTACACAAAATATTGTCATTTCAAATAATTTAAAGAAATATTAATAATATAATATGTCGACATGGCTCAACACAAGTGAATATACTTGAGGTTTTCCGCCAATTGTAATTAGAAGGATAAATAATAAAAAGCAATATACCTGCCTCTTTACTCCCTAAGATAAAGGCGGAATACGAAATCCCGCTACAGATGGAAGTAAGATCCATCAAAATGCGATACAATTTAATGTTTAAATAAAAATAATTGTTCTTCTCAGTCTTGTATCCCAAACTAAATTAGAATACTCTTTTCTATTTTATTATAATAAACCAGCTTTCCTATATTTCTATTTTTGCATTTCTCGAGCATTATATCAAGGACAACCTCAATGAAATCTTTTCTGTAAGCAAACAAACAAAAAATAACAAAATTCTTTTGGACGGCCATGCATTATGGCTCTAGGCATGGGCACACAGAGGAATTTGTTAAGTTAGGGACCGGGGTAAAAGGCAATAAATTATTGAAAATTTATTGCATTTTCTTTGTGTTTTGTTATTTATGGAAACTGCCCCCTACCCTAGCCCCCGCTGCGTACAGTCATTTTACAGTGACAAAGTAATGGCCTCGTAACTGTGAGGCCCCAGGTTCATAACCACGTGCTTTATTAGTGCCCATTTGTGGGGCATTAACCCTCATTACTGTCATTTATGACTTAAGGGCGTAGGTCCCCTAGTTGATAAGTATAGTAGCATACACATGCTTTAGCAGTCACGCAAAACACACATTGGCAAATTTTTATTCAATAAATCTTGAGAATGTATACTATTATCTAGATCTATTAGGAATAATTTTTTTAATAAATAATTCCATAAATTGGGGTAAAACAAAAATATTTCAACTATATGAGCGACAGTGTATTTAGATTAAGACTTAAATACTATCACAAAGATGTTAAGAGGCTTACATCTAGGATGTCATTGATGAAAGTATCAATTTCCTGCTCGTTAGCTACGTCAAGGACTAGGGTCTGGGGAAAAAAATCATTTTATTTCATTCAGTTTAATTTCGTTTCCTGTTTATTTATACATAGAAATAGGAAATAAACCATTGATACATGTTTTTAAAAACAAAATAATATACACAAGAACGAGTTCCTGTTTTCTGTTTGGCTTATTTTGTTACCCTTACACTAAACAAAAATATGTAAGTCAACTGTATACCTATATATAAATACCATGAGGCCATAAACATAGACATTTCAAGTCCTAAACTATACTGATTTAAATCAGAATCAATAAATCCATAAGATAAACATGAAAATGCTGACTTTTTGGTTAGCTCGTGTGATTGGCAAAAGTCAATAGCAAGGCTGGTTGAATTACTTGATGAAAATGAAATGCACAGGGTAATTTAAGACTGTCACAAATAAAGGCAAAAAGGAATGAATTGTTTTTATATAGATACCTGGATATATTGCTTGACATTAAGTAATGTGTTCAATTCTCCGGAAACATCCTAAAAGGGATAAAAGAAACAGTTATTCCACAAAATGGTCTCCTTTTCAATTTATTTTGAATATAGCTTCAAGTTCTTAATTGTATTTATTAGTTTTACTTTTATGTGTAACATGAAGCAACCAATATGCTTTGTTGAATGTCCTAGTTTTACATTGATTAAATAACGGAAGAATGCATTCATTCATATTCAGATGTTTACCTTGTTGACGGCTTGAGCTTGGGAGACATCTTCGATTGCTGGTTCAGGGTCTGTGTCTGTGACTGTTTCCTTAAGAAACACAAGTATATTATAATGGTCAATTAAATACGGATATCAACACAAAAAGCAGGCATTGAACAATACAAAGAAAAAACATGCAGCCTCGCTTTAACAATTTATAATATTACAGTCATTTATCTAGTTTGCAAACAATAATGATACTAGCAAAAGAGGGATCGCTTTGACATTATAGAATTTCATAATAATTTTGGTGCGAAAAGAAGATTAGATATAAAATTTTAAGATGAATAAAAGAAAGGACAAAAAAAGTAAAAGGAAAGAAAATTTAGCATATATGATCAATGATTTCAATTGAACTTTGAAAGAAGTAACAAAAAAAGCAGAAAAAAAAGTTTGACTTACTTTGAGGGTTTCTGGCTGAGAATGAATCTCAACTTGGCATCTGCGAACACCAAAACCAAAGTACAAATGTAAAATCAATGACGTTTAAATGTGACCGAATGTAGGAACAAATAAAAGGTATCATCAATTGATTATAAAAAAAACATGTGTTAATTCTTTTACTTTTGAAAATCAAAATTGAGGAAATGAAGCGTTGTTGTTGTTTTTGTTTTCTCTTTAATTCCGAATCAAATAATAGTAGGATTATCAAATATTTCATGAAGTAGTGGACATGGTGTAGGAATAACAAATTTGATAAATAAATGGATTCAATATAAAGACAGCTAATATCATTTAAATATAAGGTATACGTACTCATCATTTAAGGTAAGAGAATACGCATAGTCATCTGTGTCTGAGCCGGGTTGTGTTCTTAATCCCTTGTTCACTAAAGGAAGGGAAAAAAAACACAAATAGAAATACATGTATTATTATTATTCATGAGCATAATATGATTTGTTACTTTTATTACAACATGCAATTAAATCAGTCATACCTTATCAACGTTAGTAATTGTTAAAGTAATGTCAGGGTCGGCGCCACAGGGGGGCAGGGGGCGGCCGCTCTCCCTATCATTTTGAAAAAGGGAAGAGGAAAGGAAGGAGAAAGAGGAAAAGGAGGTGGAACAGGAAAGGAAAAAGAAGGAGAAGAAAGGAAAATAAGTAGAATAAAAGAAAAGGAAGGGAACGAAAAGGAGAAAGGCCAGGAGGAAGAGAACAATAAAATGTAAAATATGACGTAAGGAAGGGCAGGGGAGAGGGGAAAAATTAGAGGGAAAAAAAGAAAAAGAGACAAAAAGCAAGCAAAATCAGGCGATTAGATTAAGACGCGTCATTATTACATTCACATTACCGGAAGTTCAAACATTGATTTGCGATGAAAAACATTTCGCCAACTGAAAGAAAAATTAATCCCTTGTATCTCCTAAACCTTATGGCTGATTGTTCAATGGAAATGACAAATTCATCTATAACAACCCTTCTGAAAGTATGGTGACCCCCCCCCCCCCCCCCCCTCCCCCTGCCTTCTTGTTAGTTAAACTTAAGTTAAGACTGTTTTCTTTTTAATTTGGCAAAAATTATGCACCAAATCGAGCCATTAATGCATCAATTTAAAACAAAATCTTCAACTTCTGAGGGGGGAACACCCCCCGTCAGACACCCCCTGCGTCCTTGTTCCTGTTAGTGGAAGTTAAGACTGTTTTCTGTTTAATTAAGCACACATTATGCACCAAATCGAGCCATTTATGCATCAATTTTAAAAAAATCTTTAAATCTGAGGGGGCGCATCCCCGTCAGACACTCCCTTGAGTCCTTGTTCCTGTTAGTTGAACTAAAGACTGTTGTTTTTTTAATTTGGCAAAAATTATGCACCAAATCGAGCCATTTATGCATCAATTTTAAAAAAAATCTTTAAATCTGAGGGGGCGCATCCCCGTCAGACACTCCCTTGAGTCCTTGTTCCTGTTAGTTGAACTAAAGACTGTTGTTTTTTTAATTTGGCAAAAATTATGCACCAAATCGAGCCATTTATGCATCAATTTTAAAAAAAAATCTTTAAATCTGAGGGGGCGCATCCCCGTCAGACACTCCCTTGAGTCCTTGTTCCTGTTAGTTGAACTAAAGACTTTTTTTTTTTTAATTTGGCAAAAATTATGCACCAAATCGAGCCATTTATGCATCAATTTCAAACAAATCTTCAACTTCTGAGGGGGCACATCCCCCTCAGTCAGACACCCCCTGCGTGGCGCGCCCATTCGCCCCCTAACAAAATAGCCTGGCACCGCCGCGCCCCTGAGTAATGTGTATGTTGAAAATTAATTTGTCCAGATAAAAGTTACTTAAAAATGTTACATATCAAAGCTTACATCTAAAATATTCAACAAAAGCAATAATTCAACCAGGCTGTACGCTTTTCATTCTTGAGTTACGAAAAACACAAAAACATCCAATTTATGAATAGATCCATTATAGTTCTTAACTTTATCAGGAAAGCATAAGACTACAAATTATAACAAGAACAAACATTATCGCAATAGCATTGATTAAAAAAAAAAATCGACATTTACAAATCACATAAAAGAAATACAGTGTAGATCTAGGTCTACGTTGACTTCTGAGAAGCTCTGTTCTACTTCATCCACCTTCCATAGAGACTGGCTTTTAATTTTATATTTCTACTTCTACTTCTTCTACTACGATACTCAGCAGGATCCATAAGTCAGGATGTAGTGCTGAGGAATAAACTATCTAGACCGATGAACTAGATCTAGATCTAATTAGACCTATTGTAGACTAGTTAGGCCTAGACCTCTAGTAAAAAGTAGTAGGCCCTAGACTACTCTAGACCCTAAGTAATATTAATTCAGGAATATTTTCCTAAAGTATAACAGCAATTATTACGAAAGCCCTTTTTACTATATTTTTCCTTTCTTTTTGATAGTTGGCCGGACACACAATTTTCATTCTCAGATTCTGTTAAACTTAAAATTTTGGAATTCGTCATTCTCGAAACAATACCTTGCCTTCACAATTTTGTTCTCTCGTGTATCTCATGAAAAAGCGACTCTGAACGATCGACTTATTGATTTATCTATTTAAAACAAAGAGCCATAGACCTCTATACCGGTAGTTAGTTTTTTGAGTTGCGAAAGTGTAGATATTTTACCTTTTTGTGAACGGCAACAGCACAAAGGGCTCACTTTCGTAAGAAGATTTCCCATTTTACGTTCGTAGTTTCTAAGTCTACGGATAGTATGGTAAGGTTTGTTTGGAAACGCTATGTTTGGTACATCGCGAAGAGGCAATATAGAGGTCGGGGTCAAAGCATTGTGACGTAACGACGCGCATTGCAGAATTATGACGCTTATGTATACAGTGACTCAAAAAGAAGTTTACACCTCGAAAATTGCGAATTATTTTAAAAATCATCAATGAACAGTAAATTATTATACATAAATTATTATAAAACAGTGTTTTATCCCAAATCATTTAGTATCATTTTTGTGTGGTATGTGTTCACGCTTGGATGAACAGGAGGCATTGTTTGCGAGAGTGCAAAATTCGACTTGCGCCAAAGTTGCACATGGGTCGAGTCGCAGGCTAGGCCTGAATGCCGAGTTAGTAAGGACGACTCCAGTATTTGAGACAAAATGGCAGCCTCCAGTGTGAAATGGTAATTTTGTAAAATACTGTTTTAAACGTTAATCTGAATCATTTTTATATCATAAATTAAATTAGATTGTTAATGTATATATATGTAATAGATTATTTTTCATAAATTTCACCAATGATAGTTGTAAGAATCGTTTATTAAATGTTATAGACATTGACATTGTCCCACACGTTGAACTTCGTGTCAGTCATTTGGTCTCGATTAAACTTTTAGTTTTACACACCTGCATGCACGTAGAACTTTGCACAGTGAGCACACATACGTCAGGCCTGGCCCTGATAAAAACCCGATTTATTTTATTTTTCCCGATTTTTTCTCTTCTCCCGATTAAAAAAAAAAAAAAATCCAGATTTTTTTTTTTTTTTTTTTTTTTTTACCAGATGTTTTTTCCCTTCCCTATTTTATCCTGATTTTCCCGGTTCCCCCTTATATTCTCTATTCTTTCCTATTTTGCCCTATTTTTTTTCCCAATTTTCTTACTCAAAAGGGGGGAATGTTGTTAGATGCCATTTTTTCCCCGCGAATCCTCTTCTTTTTTTTTTTACTCAAGGGGGCGTGGTTGAGGGGAAAACAAAAAACCTATTTTTTTTTAGTGCTCGCTATCACCCCTGATACGTGCATTACTATCCTGGCTGTGTATTAAAAGCTGTGCTTTTGATTCTCAACATTTCTGTACATCACTGTACAAAACTCAACTGATTACACTCAAAATCGCGTACTGTCTTTAGGTCTAGTGACGATTGATGACACCTAAATAGCAGTAAGAATACAATTTATCCAACTTTCTAATCAATGTTAGAAAGAATAATTTAAAATTCAAATTGTGAGTCAACTGTAAAACTTGCCGATCATCGGCATGATCGGCGCATCGGCATGATTGTGTGCATCTGTGTGTTAGAGTGTATTGACTACTCGTGTATTCAAATGCCTATATTAACACGTAGTACAGTGCTAGAGGTCAATACGCATTAGCATTGACTCTCTATGCTTTGCTGGAGTGACAGTAAGTTTACGCGCTCCCATTCGCTGATCCGCTCGAGTGGCTTCGAATTTAAGTAAGAGAGTGCCTACTTAACTTAGGCGTAACTTAAGTTCAATGGCAAAGCCAGTGTCAATCATAATATTAGTGATTATTATATCACGCCGAGGAGATTTTGACATGTCATGCTTTAAACGGGTGACGCACTTCTCACATATCTGACTCACACATGAGATTGCACACACACTAAAATAGAAAAATCAACAAACATTTCAGAATGAATGATGAAAAAGGGAATTTTTCAAACTTATAAACAAGTTTTGTAAGACTTAAACTTAAAGGGATCCGGTAACTTTGTCTCAGATTCTGAAATAAAATTCTGGATTTAGCTCATGATGATTATCAAGATATTTATGATTGGAATTACAAATTTTGAAAACCGTTCGCATGACGGTTTTCATAACACTACAGTCTATTGGGGAAAACGAGTATGGTAAAACCGGTCACTCAAAGATTTTTACTTTTTTGAGGCACTTCTTGATCATTTTGAAGCGCAATTTTTTTAGGGCTTCAATATAACACCATATCACAGACACTGATAACACGTATGGCCTGTGTATCTTAGATTTAACATTGTTAAACGATTCCTTTAAGTGAAATACATAACCTTTTAAGAATGCTAAAACAATTGTAATAAATAGAGGGTTTAACTGAAATATCATGATTTTGGTATGGGACCGAACAGAAAATGGCTAGCTTTCTCCTCGCACCAATATCTTACAACAACAAGCAAATGGCAGCCAGTGATAGCCAATAAGAAGGGCCCTTGTCGGCGTCAATTTAGGATCATGAGGCTCCAATTTGCCGAGATCGGATGAACGTTCTGCGTGTGCGCTAAATGTAAGCTAGAGTTCTACGTGCAATGGCACCACCGGGCCCAGTGTGAGACCATTCATTCATTTGAACAAGATATGTGATACATCTTATGATAAACTGTTCAAGAAATAAAATGAATTATTTTTGTGAAATAATTCAAGTTCATTGAGTGTCTCTATTAAGAATATACCTAAGACTAAGACTAGAGTAAGACTAAGTAAGAGTAGACAGTCCTAACTCCAGAAAGCAGGTAAGGGTCAGCATGGTCTGCAACATTTATTTTAAATATTTGGCCCAAAAACCGCACAGAAACGTGAAAAGATGCTTCCAGAACATAATTTCATAAAATATCATATTTTGAATGGCCGAGAATAACATTTTGAAATTCTGCATGTGTAAATTAATTCTTGTATATATATATATATATGTGAACGGTATTATTTAATAAAGGATCCCTATGGAGGGGGGGGGGAGAAGAAAAAAACAATTTGTTAATTCATAAATGCATAATAAAGATGTTTTAAACAATTTTTTTTTTTTAAACATATCTTACTAAAATTTTAGTTAACATTATGCCTCATTGAGATTGTAAATACTTAATGCATTCATTTCCCACATATTCTAACAATGTGGTTATAACTTACATACACCTGTGTGAAAAATCTCAAGATTTTCAAAAATTATGCAGTTTGCATATTAGAATTGACCCCTATGTCATGTGTTGCTGGTGTGGTTTGCATTCTGGTGTTCCCTTTGTGTGCTACTACGTTCTGCTAAGCTACCTCGCTTTTTATTACTTGCCTTAGCTCCTACATGTACAACATTATCTTTGTATTTTGAATGGATTAGCTATTTCATCAACCAATAGCACTCATAGAGGAACTATCTGTACGTGGTGCTGTGTACATTTTAGATGTGATCGCCCTCTAAAGTACACCAGAATATCCTGCAAAATTCAACAAAAGACTTGGTTACCAGTATGGCAGCCATGGAGTTGTAGGTCCTGATCTAAAGATACTAATCGCTTGTGCAGTATGCATGAGCAATGTTCATCCATCTATCTCAATCCCTCCACGATCCCCCAAACCAATACAAACCACACAATACATGTATTTCCAAGAGGTTAATTGTTACGTCAAGAAAAATATGGAGAGATGAGCTGCAACAGTACTGGGGAAAGGTTAATTGGCACGAATAAGCACTGAACAATTTGGAGACAGCATGCTGAGGCCTTCATCCTGCAGTGGATCAATAATAGCTGAAAAAGTAAAAAAGTAATTGTTATCACTACTTATTCCATGTATGGTGAAATTATTTTTTTAACAAAATGCATAGAAACTTGCCTTTTGAAAGGAAAAATGACTCACTTTGATGACTGGTCTCTTCAATCCATGTTGGGTCTGGCCAGGTTAGTCCTGATAATGCCTTAACATTAAATCTACAAACTAAATTCAATGAAACCTGAATTATGTTTGTTTTTTCCTGCAGCCTAGTCCAAGGGCTCATCAAAGGCCATCGGATCATGCTTTTTTCCAAGAGCTACTGCCCGTTCTGCCTGATGGCTAAATCTGTTCTACAAGATGTTGGTGCTAATCCGGTTAAGGTTCTAGAGATTGAAGAAAGGTCTGATGAACAAGAAATCCAGGTGAGGATCGATGTACAGTCAAGAAACCATGTTATAATATCATTACATCTAGGAGTGGGCACAAGGGGTCATGCCTACCCCCCCCCCTGCCTCCATGTAAATAAATTGTTTAGAATGGAAATGGAATACATGTACATATAGAAGGAAAAAAAGTTATAAATTCCTTAGATTGCTATAAAATATTTGTGAATTATCATTATTGAATGCAATTATGCAAACATGTTTAGATGAGGTATCGAAACACAATGTAAAAATGTTTATGTTTTGACACAAAGTGCTTGATTGTTGGCGACATTTGTTAATTAAAATGTGTTATTTGATGTACATTCACATTTTCAGCCTCGCCAGAGAAGTACAGGACCATAAGCTGTATGTCTTTTTATTGATACCTTTGTGAGATGATATTGTGTTTTTCACAATTATGCCTTTGGGTACACTACAAAACATCCCATATTTTTAGATATTTTAAATAGCTGTTTGTCTCTAATATACATGATTGTATAGTGACTATATAATGATTTCTTTAATATTTTTATCAATTTTCAACAACAAACTGTCTTCACGGACTCACGGAGGTATACATTGTTAAGTACATGTACAGTCCCTGTTGAGTATTTGGAGTTGGCATGATTGAATCAAGCTCTGTAAAATTCTAGCGTGAAAAAATGGAAAAAAATAAAAGCATGTAAATAAAAGAAGTCTATCAAACAAAAAAGGAATTTAATCATTGTATATTGTATGGGCATGGGCATCTTGGAACATTTAAGAAATGCAATACTGAACTGAGTCTGAAATTGCATAGCGCCATCTCTAGAGCATTATAGTTTAGTGTTCAAAAAGGAAATGTAGTTAGCATATCAACAAATGTCAAATGACTGAAACGGGTATGCAACCTGATATTGAAAAATCATATTTAAAAAGGGAGGGGGGGGGTGTGAAGGGGGTCATGTTTATTGATCATAACCTATCGTGCACTAAATGATCTAGCTCCAGAATATATTTCATCCCTTCTATCACCCCACTCTGCAGGTCGTTCTGGTTTACGTTCATCACATAATATTAGACTTAAAGAAATACGTACCAAAAGAAATTGGGGGGATAGAGCATTTGCATCAGCAGCTCCTTCTTTGTGGAATAAGTTACCTTTCTCTATTTAGATGGCCAACACTCTCTCTACTTTCAAAACTGGGCTTAAAACTCACCTGATGCTCAATGCATATTGTTAAATTTCAATGTTCTTTTTATACAATGCATGCAAAACAAACAATCGCACTGTGCCACATTGTATGTACCGTGGCACCATGAAGTTGTATGATCTAATGCAAGTTAACATTTAATATTTCTTTAATCTTAAGTATGTTAAATATTAATTTAAATTATTTGTATGCGCCTTGAGCATCTCTAGAGATGGATATGTTGCGCTTTATAAATATTGTTATTATTATTATTATTATTATTATTATAAATGAGGACAGAAAATAATTTGGATTTAAATTGACTATAGACTTGTAAAATTGTATCATGATTATGATTACCTTGGTTTTGATTAGGTAATATATGATGAAAATTTCAATTAAATAATATACTTTCAAAAGCATCAAAATATTAAGACTTCCTTGCTATAATTTTGGATAATAAGTATTTCGCAATAAATACTTGTGTTTTGAAGTTACTATTCTACTCCGGTTGCATCAGTGAACATCAATTTAAAAAATATAAATAATCATCTTTTAATATTCCTATTGCTTGTCAAAAAACAATATTTTCCATCAACATTTGATGATATATTCATGAACGTTCAACTGCTTCAAAGGACATTCAGAAATTGAATCAGAATTAGTATGCATTTTTATAATGACTTTTAGTGTAGATGCATGCAATTTGATCGTTGTTAACTTGTCTTTTCTCCGCTGTTGATTCTCTCTACCCAGGATGTTCTGTTGGATCTGACAGGAGTAAGAACAGTTCCTAGTGTGTTTATAGACCAGGACTACCTTGGAGGAGGCTCAGATCTGCAGAGGATGATGGAAGAAGGGCACTTACAAAAACTCCTCAGAGAAAAGGGACTTCTGAATGCCGGAAATGAAAGCTCAGCAGACAGATAACAAAGATGAGGAGTTGCATGCTTTGACTTCACAGTGAATCCATGAAGGCAGGGGGAAGGGGGGGGAGGATTCAAGAGGTATTGCCCCTTGTGTTTTCCAACAATCATTTCCAACAATCATTTCCAAAAATGAGTTTACCCTCAAAACTGTTTGAAGTGAGTTTTAGCGACAGTTGAAACAGACCACCCCCACCCCCTTCCTGAAATCCTGTATTCACCACAGTATTTTTGACTGCATTAGCACTAAAATTTCAATGCAGGGTTCTAAAACATGATTTAGTATGTAAATGTTTCTGACTTCCTTGTCAGTTTATCATTTACAATATATATATAATAATATTAATCAATCGTTCATCATTCATATCACCTTCTACAAACTGCTTTTGATATAATCACCTCAGCTTTAGCCGTTATCAACCCACATTTCATTTGAAGGAAAGGGGCATTATTCTGCCTGGCACCCATTTAACACATTGGTGGAGAGAGACAACTGTTAAGTGTCTTTTCTAAGGACATACATGTATGCATTATACAGAGATTTGAACCCTCAACCCTCTGAGGAAGAGTCAAGTGAATGAACCAGTATTTTTTGATTCTCACACAATTGATAGAATTTATAATAATGATTGGTGAGGTATAAGCGCAACTACTTGAAAATGTTATGTAAAATTCCTTCTTAAAGGTACTATGTCCCATTTGCAGGCCAAAAAAAAGGAAAAGGCTAAATTCCAACATCATTTGAAAGATATGCGAATTTAGAACTTACTTAAAAAAGATGGGGCTTGAAAATGTCTTCAAGTGTGAAAATAATGACTATTTGTTGTCAAATCGACCTAGGAGCTATAGAGCCAATAAGTAATAGTCTTGATTTTCAGACCATTGTACCGAATGGTCATACGTTTTAATGCTGCGCAAAGATTCAATCAGTTTAATTTTGGCCATCACAAGAAGTGGGTTATTGATGTAGACAAATGCTCATGTGCCTTTTACAGCTCATTTTATGTATGTTATTACCAAAGAAGAAAAAAAAGCCAGTCAGTCACTCAATAGTGTCTGACAGTGAAGTCTAGCAAGTAAACAGGTTTTCTTGCATAATTAGGATAGGACATACATGACATATTTATAATTCCTGCAAAGTTCTACAGAATTTGAGGTTGGCTGCAAAAGGGACATAGTACCTTTAAGACATGTGATCAGTTTTGATATTTTGTTCCAATGAATCAGAAAATTTGAAGTGGAAAAGATAGGATAACAGACAGATTAATATATTTGTAAAAATGTAGAAATATATGTAGGTATTTACCTGTCAACCTATGCATTTCATTCAATTTGTCATTATGTGAAGAAAAAAGAAAAAAATTATATTAAAGTACTGCAGTATGGTTATTGTAACATTAATGAAAATGAGTGATAAACACATTTCTCAATTATATTGCATTTCTTTGGCCATAAATTATCAATTCATATCATTTTTTGATTCACTAGTTTCTTTTTAATATCTATGTTATAAGTAGCATTAATAAGATAGCTATTTATTCCCTGTTGACATGATGAAGAATAACCCTTATTGATTTTCTTGATCATTTCTTCTAAGGGTAATTGATTAGTGCAATTTTGTGAACAAAACGTTTTATTGTATATACTCGCATTCAACTTTTATCTAGCTGTTACAGGTATACAATAAGGAGACATGGTATACATATATGACGGACATGTAATGCACAAATAAATATATATGCAATAAATACAATTTCATCACGACTTGCTTTTATATTCGGCATTAGATGGAGACACTGACATAATTATTGCCGATAGATGGCGACAAACATCAAAATGACTTGTGCTAAAATTTAGTGGAAGGAGTGATTCTTTTTTGGAGAGAAGTGGAGAGGGAGAGAGATGACAAGAGAGAGAAAAGAAATGATTGTTGAAGAGAAAGAGAGAGAGAATAAAGAAAGAGAAATATAGTGTGTGAAAGAGAGAGAGAGAGAGAGAGAGAGAGAGAGAGAGAGAGAGAGAGAGAGAGAGAGAGGAGGACGAGAAAAGGAAGAGACTAGGGGGGAGACGGGTTTTTTAAAACATCGTGGCCAATTAACCGCGTTTCTTGAAAGAAGATAGTGTGGAAGTTTCTATTTCGGTTTAGTGTACCGTCTCAATCTGTTGCTTCTCCTCATTTTTCTGATTCATCGTCTCTCTCCATCCGACCTGTATTTTATATGGTGTCATCTGCATTAAAGATGCTTCCCTGCATTAAAACCCCATTTTAATTAGTCTGTCAGTGCACTGTCAGTGCCTTAAAAGGAGATCACATTGCCTTAAAAGGATGTCACATGTAGCAGTCCACGTTCTCGTCGTGCAAATTTAAAAGTCCCTAATGTCTCTTATGTAAATAGTTTTTTGTATTTCATATGAATATCCTATTCTGCTCATAAGGACCAAAACGTCACTGGTAATGATTAGGGACTTTTAGAATGAGTGGACGAGAACACGACGAACGCCGACTGATCATGTGTCAACGTACTTAACTGCCCATTTGACTACAATTAGAAATCTTTTAGATTGCACTCGACGATATACATGCATGCAGGAAGTAACATTATGAACATCACGGACAAAGAAAGAGGACAAAATATACAGTTCCTCATTCTACCCTCAACAAAAGAACATCCCTTCACTGCTATTATGTAAAAATGTGTAGAACAGGTGAATATGCATGTGACACCTGTTCCACACATTTTTACATAATAGCAGGGAAGGGATGTTTCGGCTTTGTCTACCTGAGGAACTGTATATTTTATGCGCACGCGGCATACTAGTACCTTGAGCATGTAAAGGCGCTATATAAATATCAATATGTATGTATGTACTAGATTTAGGAAAATCAAGGTTGACACATTCTCGATCGCCGACTGAGACGTCGTAACGCATGCGCATTGCCTTAAAATGACGTCACACGTTGCAGTCAAAGCTGACAACGTGCAAATCTAAAAGTCCCTATTATCGTTCATGTCGTTCGAGGAGTCAAACAATCAATGCGGAGTGGGGGTATTTTTAATTGACGGCGTTTCCTATACGAGACATTTGATTCCGATTAATTCGTTTCCCCCTTCCACCGCCTTGAAGATGAATTGACGCCCGAACCCATCTTTTCATTAAATATAATATTGTTTTCACTTTTTAACATGTTATCATAGTTATCATAGTTTTTGCTAATAACATTACAAGTAAAGTTGGCAAACACCCCCCCCCCCCCTTCCCCTTCTTCCTTAAAAAATGTTTGTAAATTTATTTTTGAATCTTGTCTGTGTTGTAGAATGTCGGGTATATTGAAGACAGACGTGATTTCATTATATGTTCAGGCAAGGAATATTGACCGGCGGTCCACAGCATGCGTGCGGCGGAAGCCCATTGCCCTCAGTATGCGCGCTTGAATGAAACCCTGCTATTTTGGCATCGATTTGTTGCGTTAATGGGAAAAACTCTTCGGCAAGAACCAGAAAGCAAAGGGGAAGCAGAAAACGTCCAATATTGTTCTTCGCCCGTCACTGAATTTCACGGTTTCGTTACTCCCGAATGAATTAGTTGGCACGTTCTGATGCAGTCGGCTGCAGTCCGTGACATATGGAAGATTAGAAAGAGAGAGAGAGAGAGAGAGAGAGAGAGAAAGAAAGGGAGAGGAAGAGAGAGGGAGGGAGGGCGGATTGAGATAGATTGATAGATAGATAGATCAGAGAGAAAGATAGAGAGAGAGAGAGAGAGAGAGAGAGAGAGAGAGAGAGAGAGAGAGAGATACCAGACAAACAGACTGAAGCAAAATGGTACGGGCAGAGAAATACAAAGAAATGAAGATATAGAGAGTTGGAATAAAAGAGATTGGATACAGAAGGAGGAGAGAGAGAGAAAGATGACGGGGGGGCGAAGGAAATTAATGTTATAGAGAGATTGGGATGCGGAGATAAAGTAAGAGATGGGAGAAGAAAAAAAGAGGAGGAGGAGGAGAAGAAGAAAAAGAAAGTGGCCATTGCTCTTTCAATGGCATTTTGAACATGCAAAGCCAAGCAATATAACATTTCAAGCTATTCGTTATTTGTTTTAAAAACTAACTATCGATGCCTTCTTTAATATCATAGGGATTTGGAGAGTGTTCACAATATCAGTAGTTTATAGAAGACCAAATATAGTTTCACCGCCACTCAATAATGGATTGCCATCCACCATTTCCATAGTGCTATTGCAATATAAAAGGCTCTTCATTTTGTGCTGAAAGAACTAAGTGAATTTTATTAAAAATCCAGAATTTGACAACTTAACAAAAGAAAACAAAATCAGTTGCCAAATACCATATGGATTTTACTTAATCTAGTTGCTTCCTCAAAATTCTCTACATTGCCTAACTCTGTAGGCCTTTTGAGGGAGGAAAGGGTATCTAAGTCGTTTATCCTATTATTAAAATTAATAAGATAATTGGAAGCTAGCAAATCATAACGCAAATTCACATGCCTTGTATTACAGAAACCAAATGACTTGCGAGTTCATGTACTTAGACAAACTGTTAGAGTAGTAGAGTTTGCTTATTCATGTCTCCTTTCTGAGAGGATAAATTGCTCATCATTTGCATTTAAAATCGAATAATGCTTACAAAAATAATTCAAAACCTCTGATCCGATAATCTAAATGATTCGTACTTCTGATGAAATCAAATTACAGGAAAATTTAGTTTTATATCAGGGAGGAATATCTTGTTATTAAAATTTAGGATTATGCTATCCATAATACATTTTGCTTAGTGCTCCAAGGCAGTACCCTGCTGGAAAGAACACACTCATTCACAGTGTGAATCACAGTGTGAATGAGTGTGTTCTTTCCTTTTCCGGTTATCCACACTGTAAACCACAGTGTGAAAGGAATCTTCCTCAATGTGGAAACGCCCCAATTTAACACTGTGGAGCACACTGTGAATGAGTGTGAATGAGTGTGTTCTTTCCAGCAGGGTAGGCACTTATGAGAAAAAAAGAACAGAATGACGAGATTTTTTTGTACGCGACAAACGGTAGAGTTATCCGTGTCTACGTCACAATCCGCCAACTATTAGATTCGTAGTTTTTGCTGATTTCATATTTCAAACATTCATAACTCTCCTATTGTTGGTCCGAAAAATACTTGGAACTTTACACTTTTGTTTCTCTTATCTTTCTGTCTTCATTCAAAATGAATTCATTACAAGGGTGGGATTGCTCTTTAATTCATATAATCTGTTTACTTGAAACTCGCAGCGGTAAATAAAAATGCAGCTAAACGACTTCATCTTTGCTGTTATTTTCGCCATTAGTAACACGGTGACGAGACACGGCGGGCAGTGTGTAATAAACTGCGGAAGTTTATAGAAATCTTGAATAAATAATTTGTTTCATAGCTAAGTCTAACTGAATATGAGTTACAATAAGATTTGGGGAGCCGATTTTTCTTCTTCTTGGATCGCAGGCTGCCGACGGAGATACAAATACCCAGTAGAGTGTCATTGTGCCGGCGCTTCCGTTTATTTGCTCAAAGAGTTGGACATAAAAGAGCTCGGCCCAGCTCGCTTCGTTTCTGATACATGGCTACATTTGACAGTGTATTCCTAATTGTTTCAAGTGACATTTGGGAAAGATTCATTTTATCAAGAGTCATTAAATGTCACTTATCATGCATGAGTCATCTATTTGACCAGTCTCAGGACATGAAGACACACACACATGATCTACTCATACGAGACCAAGAAGATAAAGAAGAACTATTTTAGTAGAGGAAAAGCTTACAAAGTCATTTCTGAATGGAAATGACGCCCTTCTGCATCATTAGCAC